TAAAGAGCTGTCCAAGATTGCAATTACAAAGCTATTTCAATTGGCATTCAAAGGAGTTAATACATACTTAATAGACCCTCAGATAGATTGGGGAATGTATCCTTTCAAATTTCACAATTTCACCTGCATGACTGTTTTATTTATTTGGATTACAAGTGTTTATTGTGGTAAATTTAGTAGCTAAATTCGTTGGTTATATAAATTTTAATTTTCGGTGAGAATTCGATATTTTATATCATTAAATTTCACAATTTTAACCCAAGGATTCTTTATTAGGAGTATTGAACTTTGCTTTATATATTTAATTTTTGTGATGCTTTATTTGAGCTAATTGTCTATCGTAAATAATTTTTTAATTTTTTCAAGGCAAAAATAATATTGCGTACCATCACCCCATTCCCGCACTTGTAGAATTGTGTTGAATATATTATTGTTGTAAATTATGTAAACAAATTTATCCCATTTCAAATATAATCGACCACCAACTTGTTTTCAATTCAATTTCAAATTACTACTCTTCTTTTTTTCAATTCAAAAAACTTGGGCATTTTTACAATTTCACCTTTGCATCCCCACCCCCACGCACCCCACACCCACTCCACCCCACCCCCTTCTTTGGTGGGAAGATCCTAACAAAACAACTCAACAAGCATTGCTCCTTGAACCACGTGAACCAAAAAGTTAAAACCAAATCAGAAACTTTAAACTTGTAGAACATCATTTACCAGAATACCCTTGTTAAAAACTTCAAAAATCCACATTCAAAATTCATTCATTCTGCATTTACACAGGGCTAAATATGTAAAATCAGCAAGTGTCACCATCATTATAGAGCGCCAAAACGTAAAAGAAAACATAACCATAGTCTGAAACACTCACGAAAATTCAAACTGATTTTCTCAACAATTTGGCCAGAAAAAAAAACGATTCAGTGTAGTTTTTGCCATGGCTTCTTCCACCATTATTGAAGCCTGTAACAGTAGAAAGAGAAACCGAAAGCCATTTATCTTCGAAACATTCGCAATTGGAGACTCCATTGACGGTTTTTCAGGACCCTTTAGAGACAACATTCGAATGTTTCTTCAAGAATTTGCTACCATTGAAGATTATACGCTCTGTGGTTTTCCAATTTGGTCTACTTGGTTGATTTCCAACTCTACCGGTTCCGTTTTCCCACTCTACACCATTGAAGAAACCACTCAACTTTCTCTTCATCCTTTCTGCGATCACTGTAAATTATCTGGTAAAATAAAATGAACACTCAATTTTTTCTTTTCTTCTGCAAATTAGTTATGAATTTTCGTGGGTAATTTTGTTTGTTTATTGTTATGGAGTGTTATTTTTGTGTTGTTGAAGGATGGGGTCATCATTATGTGTCGAAACGAAGGTATCATTTGCTAATACCGGCCAATGAGAACTGGGAAAAGCCATTGGGAAGCGATTCTCTTGAAATTGGTACTCATGTTTTGCATGGTTTGATTCATTGCAATGGTTATGGTCATTTGCTGTCCATTAATGGCGTTAATGAGGATTCAAATTTGCTCTCTGGAAGTGATTTCATGGATCTCTGGGATCGTCTTTGTACAATTTTCAAAACCAGGTACTGAAGATCATAGTGATTACGTTTTTGTGTGAAAAATTGTCATCCTAACTCAGTAAAAGTTATTCTAAAGTTTCGTGATCTGAGTAAGTAGTATTATTGTTTGATTAGGTAAATAAACGAAGTAGTATTGTTGTATGGAATTTTTAAGCTGCAATTGAAGAATTATTTATCTTATTATTGTTATTTGGCCAGGAAAATTTCATTGAATGATGTGTCGAAGAAGGGAGGTGTGCATTTGAGGTTGCTTCATGGTGTTGCATATGGACAATCTTGGTTTGGGAAATGGGGTTACAGATTTTGCCGTGGAAGCTATGGAGCGACAGAGAAGAAATATGAAATTGCTGTTCAATTTCTAAGCTCATTGGGGCTTGACAAAATTTTGAATGATTTCAGGAAAGATTTTACGGAAAGACGGAAAATCAAGCAGATTATTGGTACCTACAGGGAATTGAGTGAAGTTCCATTGATCACAATTAGCGAGTTATTGCAATTCATGCTTGCTTTTAAGTTTAAAGCTCCGTTTCATAGCAAGATGAAACTTGCAAATGGTGATGATTATTGGTGTGATCCTGATATAGAAGAGAAAAACAGGCCAATTAGTATGGAGACATTTGTGAATATGATGGCTAACAGTGATTGTAGATGGCCTGCTAGGCGGCTAGAATTTGTGGTAATAGTTATTGTGAATTTTCTGAAAGAAAATCAAGCAAATGTAGGCAGAAATTGTAGGATGACCAGGCAGGACTTGAGAAATGAGGCAAGAAAATTCATTGGTGACACTGGTTTGATTGATTTTGTGCTGAAATCTATCAGATGTTTTGCATTGGGAAGCCAAATTGTTCGTCGATCCATCAACCCAACTACTAAGTTATTGGAATTCACTATTCATGAATTTGCTAAGGAAGAAGAATCAATAAGGTTTCCATTTTTGGACATGGATTCTGATTGCAGCTGGACTGAGAGAACAGTGAAAGAAGCTGCTGAGTTCATTGTGAAAATCTTGAGAGCACATAATGGGGATGGTGCCATGTCTAGGCAGGAGCTACGTGACAAGGCTAGGACAACCATCCGCGACACCGGCCTGATTGATTATGTACTGAAATCCATTAACAAATCCATAATGGGAAACAAGATCATTTTTCGATCGAAGAACCCCTCTACTAAAAGGATTGAATTTGCCTTTGAAGATGTTGTTGATGCAAACAGAGTTGAGAACATTGAGTTACACATGAATATAGATCAAGATCTTGTGTACTTGTATGAAACAGTGCTTTTAAGTTACCCAGGGTCAGACTCAGTGAGTTTGGCTACTGGGGTTGTCTTGGACAGCAAGAGATTTGTTAAAGAGTGGAAGCTTAAGGATCAAGAACATCAAATAATGGCATTAACATGTAAAGTCTTGCCGAGTTTCGACGAGTTAGAGAGTGAATTGACTCGTCCATTGTCACCTGGTGTGGTTGTGTTTGTTCCTCCTTGGATTACAATAGGTGAGCTTAAAGGAGTGACACAGTTTGCACTAAGAGACACTTATTGCATAATGCAAAACTTTGTAGTAACACAAATTGGTGGTTTGAGGGGAATAGAGGATGAGAGGCTGCTATCATGCGCAGTGGGCAGAGATGCACACGTTTGGGTGAGAGGTTGTGGGCTGGACTTGGATACTGAACTGAGGTATGAAGGTGGGCCCATAAAGTTAAAGGTCAATTGTATTTGTGGGGCCAGGGATGATGATGGGGAGAGAATGGTAAATTGTGATGCTTGCCAAGTGTGGTTCCACACAATGTGCACTGGCATTGATGATCATGAGGAGGAGGTGATACCAGAAATTTTCTTGTGTGAGAGCTGCAGAAATTTTTAATTTGATAAGATATTAAGTAGTACAATCTGAATTTATCAAATCTAGTTGTAGTATAGATTTATCAAGAATATAAATTGCTCTGCATATTCATGATTTATGCTGACTGGAATGAATGTATAGCTTCACTAATCATAAAAGGCTTGTATTTGATGAGATGCAAGTTATAAGTACTCTCTCACAACAGTTCAATGTGGGTGTCTTTGTTATTCAGCAGTGTCCATAGTGTTAACTACTTTAATTTATCCTTCAAGTTGTAGTATAATTTTCATAGTTCCATACATCATAGAAGTTAATTCTGATTGCCAAACGATCGAAAAACTTGAAAATGAAATCACAATTACAATGATCGAGGAAAGTTATACATTTAGATGAAGAATTCACAGAGATACCATAGTGTAATCTTCTTCTACGAACAATAGAACAAAGAATCAAACTCTGGAGAAAGAAGTCAAGAATGAACTTAAGAAATGGCGATGACGTTTGAGAGTTCAACTGATGTTTTCCATTTATAGAAAAGGCTTCATTGTCAACATTAAAGCCACGGAGGGGGTGAGCACGGTGGCCGAGGCATCCTTGGCGGGTACGGATGTGGTGGCCAAGGAAAGGGCGGTTTGGGTGGGAACGGATATGGTGGCAAAGGCTGCTTTGGTGGGAACGGATATGGTGGCCGAGGCGGGAACGGCCAGGGAGGCATTGGTTGAGCATAGCCACACATTCCATTAAAACAAAGGCTTGGAGGCTGGCATCTATGCACACAGCTTCCGCAATGAAAAGGGCTCATGTTAGTATTGATGCAAATTCCTCGGCAGCATTGCCATGTGAACGGACATTTTATTTCACAAAATCCACAGTTATTCACATCAGATGTGACATCAATACAGCGATTCCTGCAACAACGCTTCTTTATTCTTGGAGGAAAGTCCCCTTCATCGCAAATCCAGGGCCTATTCCCGCACCCAATGGCTCGTGGATTCTTCACCACTCTTTTAGGCCATAATGAAGAAGATTTGGACGAGCCATTAGTGATATTTTCTTGAAACCCTCCAACTATTTCTACTTGTAAAAGTAGCAAAAATGAGATCAACCGAATAATTAGCTGCATTATGTAAAATCAAGTACCTTAGAAATGCATTTGTAGCAAAGAACTTGCAAAGTTGGATTAGTGAAGCAGAGAGATGGTTAGCTTCTTCGTTTGGATATTGGTTATTTTGATGGAGTGAATAAAGTATTAAATAGTTGGAGGGGATATGGTTATTTTCATGCAAGAATGTAAAAAGTTACTGACTTTATCATGTTTTTCTTACAAGGGTTCAATACTTCAGGTGATTCATGTTTAGACAGAGGTCGGCACAGGATGGTGTAAGTTATAATTTACGTGATTTAAGTGGAGAGACGAGGAGTGCTGCTGGGTTTGCACTTTCTACTGAAATAGAGGCTTTTTTTTCACACTTTCTACTGGTATTCATAGCCATTTTGGAATCCGAAAGTAATCTTAAAAGAACATGATTCATTATAAAAGAAGCCAGTTCACAATTTCACTTGCATGATTAATCAATTCTTTTTCATTCAACATTCCATAAAGATACACCTCCCTTTGGTATATTACATATTTGAGGGCGATAGAGCCCATATTCTTTCACGATAAAAATCAATGACTTATAAAGAATTACAAACGCTATCAAGATTCGACAAAATATAATATGTATATATATATTTGTGGGTGCGGAGGCACGATTTTGAATTTATGGGTTCTGGATTTAGAAAAGGCAGCTTATTGGGTTCTGACTCTACTGAATAAATTATTAATTCAAACTAAAGGAACTTTTAAACAGAAATACGCGGTTTGGGATTGGGTTCTACTGAACTCGTAAACAGACCTGTAGCTCCGCCTCTTTGTGGGTGTATTTATGCATTCCCTTCAACTGATTGAAGAAATTTCACAGTTGACCTGGCCAACGCATCCATTGGGTCGACACATTTCTTCAGAAGAGGATCGTCTGGAGGTAACAGATCACGCATGTCATCTGAGGCAATTATGATAGTGTTAACTGCCCTTACCACAAGAACTTGTAGCGCGATTCTGAACAAATTTTGTGCCCCTTCAATGTCCTTCCTGTTCAAGGCTTCTAGCGAAGGGATTACTGTGTGTTCCATAGTTGCCTTATCTGGCAGCACAACTTCAAAACCCTATACTCAGTAAAAGCCGAATAAAAAATGACCATCAGTGATAACTTCAACTGTTGATGAATAAATCACCTAACTATAGTATTACTGTGCCATTGAACATATCCAAAACTTGATGTTTCACATGCCTGCTAGTTGGTAGTAGTACTTAGAGGCTTACACACACAGAGACTTTCACACAAAGAATATATATATATATAGCTTCCTTTGAGACAAGAAAATTGACAGGCATCCCTAATTAGGGAAATGATAAGAACTTTTTTTAAGAAATGGAAATGATAAGAAGATTGAAGCACTGTCGTCCAAATACCTACAGCATCTATCACTGTGACGCTTAGAACAGGGGGCTATCTTGTTTTTCTCTGGATATGCCTTTGATAGCATTCCGTGAATAGTCACAATATTCAAAATTGATTAACCTACATGTCTACATAAGACAGATCTTTACCATTGAAGGTTTCCACGACTTTAATGCTCAACTCCCTATTTATTGCTACTTCTAATTGAATTGCCTGACAATGCATATCAAATCCGGCTGAAGAAAAACATGTCTTCCCTTCACCATCATATCGAAGCTTTGCTGGGCAAAGATGAAATATCCCTGCTCTGTTTGTTCTTAAGTTGCTTCTGAAGAAAAAATTTCAAGTTACTTTGGTACGTCTAAACTGCAAACTGGCTAGGTCCTTCTATGCAACAGCTCGGAGAGGTTCAAAAGTATAAAGGCAAAGGTGTTGTGGCATAAAGAAAGAATATGAGAAAAATGGGCAGTTTTTTTGCTGCAATTACTTCAAGGGGGAAAAGAGGGAGCCGGCTGATCATTGAAAACTAACTTTACACAATTCTCCTTTCTGAGTGGCAATAAACATACTTGGAATCATGCAGGGCCGGCAATCTACAAGATTTGCAACCTATGAGAATACAAACTGTGGGACTTGAAAATTATCAGTATATGCATCGTATAAAGTTGCAAAATCAATGCTCAATATAGCACTGAATGAAATAAATTAAAAGACTGCTGAGCAGTTAGTTTCCAACAAATTATCGCATGAAGAGGAGCCTAAGACCCATGTCAGAACGGTAACTGACTAGTTTCATTATAAACTGTTTTTTCTTCTCAGAGGGAATGATCACATGAAGATCATCTTACAAGTGGGATTACTATATCATTGAACAGCCAGATATATAAGTGCTATTTAGATATTTCCTATCTCGTGGCACTCAAAGCACAAGACTGGACATACAGCTTATCCTATTAGCATACCATCCTCCCATGATCAATATTATCCAATATAAGTTCTTGAACCATTATGAATTCACAAGTTACAAGGTTGTTAGAACAGGATAAATAAAGGAAAGATGGTTGTTTCTTGAACTAGTCATATACTGAAACTGATACACATAAATAGATGGTTGAAACAATCACATAAAGGTATGGCATAAAAAGTTACAAGAACAACTGTGGATACCTCATTTTGAAGTTTCTCCTGATAAAATCCAGCAGACAAAGTTGCATCCGAAGCCAGAACTCCAATGCGCAGAGTACTCCCAGCTTCTAGTGGTCGCAAATTCGCGTCTTTGAGCTCCTTGGCCACACACTCTCCCATATGAAGGACAGGAACTGAAGACCCTAGTGCAACCTCATCATGCCAAGAATGTGATATGTAACAAGGCATGACAATGCATCTAGCTCCAGATTTCTCAAGAAAGATCCTTTTGTGCCTAAGATTTTCAACAACTGGAGCATGATCTTTTAGTAAGTTTTTATTTTTACCAGTGAGGTAAGAACTAGAACCTCTTTCATGGAATGAAAGCTCTTTGTTAAGAACAGGATCGGAACAAAGAACAAAGGGAATGTCATTTCCACCATTTTTGGAACTCCATGTGACAAGCTTGCTCACAAAATTAAGAGTGGTTCCAATGGATAACCCCCCAATGATCCCTATTGCATTTTTATGGGTGAGCAAAACAGAAGAATCTGGGCGCTTTGAAGCCGCATCTAAAGGAGAATTCTCCATTGAGTTGGCTAGATTTCTGCTTTCTTCAGTTTGTGAGATGATGGATGAAGGAGGTGTCGCAAAAGCTGAACTTTTTCTTGTTCTGTTATGGCTATGGTGGCTGTTCATACGAGCTAATGTACATGTTGAATAGTTCAATGAACTGTAAGACATCATCATTCTTCTCTACAAAGTTCAGGCCAACTTTTCTAAACCTGAGAGAAAGAATCTCTTATTGGGTAAAAAAGATGTCAAAATTACAAAAGTGCAGCAGGGGTAGTCCTCTTAGATCTGATTCAATAAAAAACAGTACCCATTTTTACCTGAAACAGAATTCTTGAACTTCTCTTGCTTTATCCTAGAGAAGGAAAACAGAGGAATAGCAAGAAATTTGCAGCAAATGTGAAAACCCTCCAACAGCAGCTAGCCATTAGAAGCATAAAAACACCTCTGCAAGTGCAAATTTTCTTATGATTCTGAGAATATTCTCAGCTTCCATGATGCAGCCGACTCTCTAGTTGGGGGTCACTGAACTCTCAGTACAAGATTCTTTGTACTAGAAAAGAATCTGAAGCTAAAGGTAGTAACTTTTCCAAGTCACCAACAAGCTTTACCCAAAAAGAATTTGAGAAAAGCAAAACCTTGTATGAAGTGAAAACTCAAATATTTTTCTTTGTAATTGAGAAGAATCCCTAGTAGGAAGGAGATCTTATTGTTAATTGCAGTGGGACAGCTCCATTATTCTCCAATCAGTTACTCCACCGATTTCTACTGCTCATTATAGAAGGAATCTCTTTTATGTTTTATCTTTCTCCATCACATTTTCCTATTTGCTAAACAAATAATTAACCCATTGAACCAAAAAACAAAAAGACAGAAATCCTTGTTACCTAGTGTAGGATGGTGCTTTGTCTTGCTGCTGCTGGGTCCCACCATATGATTCATCATCAGTGAGGGCTAGGCCCACATTAGATTCTCTATTGGAAAATGAAAAAATCATCTGCTTTTTGGGTCTTTGGTTTCTAACATATCATCTGCTGTACTTTATACCATGAATTCGATCAAGTTACATCTTGTTAAAATATAAAAGGAGTAATGATCACTCAACCACAATCTTTATTGATATCAATCTTTCTTCTGTATATAAATTGCAGGTGTTAATAATTTTTAAAGAAAACCAACTTCTAATTGCACAAACACGATGGGACCTACTATATTTACTTCATTTTCTCTATAAGTAATGACTAATGACACCACAACAAAGAAAAGACTTCTATAGGAAACATAATATTTTGTCACCATGATTGAGGTATGAAAATAAATGCCCCAATGGCTGTTTGCCACTGTGACTCAGTGCTTGGTACTTGTCAGCATCAAAATTACTGCAATATAGTAATCACTTTATGAAGAAATATTGATAAGAAAGTATTGCAACCTAAATGTATGACAAAAAAAAAAAAAAAAAAAGTGGCAATCAATTAGCTAGCATATCTAACTCTAGTTATCTTTTGCTTTTGTTCATTTCTAATAGAGGCCTGTTGTTTGGAGAAACGTATCATCTTTGTGACATCTGCTCTGATAGAAAAGAAGGCAGAAAGCAAAGCAATTAGCATAGTTGGGTATATGACTACACTTGCGGAATTCCTAAAAAGTACTTGCTTGTCAAGACCCCATGTGATGAGAAGAATCCCAATAAGACTAAGTCTCCCTGATTTCATTAGACCCAATAGTGCTCCTGCCACCGACAAGTAACTTCCTACTATAACCTGTGTCACCCAAAACCAAAAAAATTATAAAATTAAACACAGGTACTGAAAAAGAAGAACCCCCAAATTCAAGCAGAATTATAAATTGATAATTAACCTCTAAGTTCTGGAGATCATGAGTTATATAAGATTCCTTCATGTTGGTGAATTTGTAGGCTTCTAGAAGCTTCCCATAGCTTGGGATGGCGTTGTTCTTATAAATGGCTTTTGCTACTGCTCCTGGGTAAATCAGGGCTTTTACCATACCCCCTGGAACAACTCCATTTGCGTACAATAGAGACAGTGACACTTCAATTGGTGTGGTACATGTACCAATTCTACAAGGGAATCTGCAATCAAAGCCTTAAACTCTGAATTTTCAAAAATGCAAAAGGCACAATGATAGTCTACTAGCTTGATTCGTGCCATTAACAACATTAATTAAACCAATAACCAATCAATGTGAATACACTGCATTGCATTGCGAGTATTAATAAGTATTCCCAATCAAGGTCAATTTTGTAAGGGCGTTCAATATTCCATTAACAAAAACCTAACATTTGTTGGAATGGAGAATTGATTGAGAAGTAAATTAGAACCTGAAAAGTGGGAGTTGGAAAAGTATTAGAAGAAAGTATAGCCTGGACGAGACGAAATAGAGGTCCCGTGCCCATTTCTTTGATGTAGACGCCATGCCAATTGTCAAAAGCTACTAAGTGTTGCTGAAAAGGGCCATAAACCCTTTTTCAAATAAGGAAAGAAAATACAGACCGCTTTTTTATTGGGCCACGGAGACCCTGAACGGTACCCATCACTTGCTTCCATCATTTTCCGGGTTTTTTTTTTATTTGGCAAAAATGACACAAATGTATACAAATTTTATTTTGTCATTGTAGCCTTGGAAAAAAAGCATAGAAATCGACATCCAAAAGGAAGTTTACTTTTCAAAAAGGAAAAAAATCTTAATTACGGTTGATATTGAATATCATATCAAAACTAAATATTTTGATATCACACATGATATTTGGTATGCGTTTTTTAAATTTTGATTTCATATATTATAGTAACTATATATGTAAAATGGAAAAAACTTAAATATGTCATCGAACTTTGAAAAATGCTCATCTATGTCATTCACAAAAGTTTGGCTCATATTATTCTATTTTTGTTTGAGAAAATGCTCATTCATGCCATTATTTGTTAACTGAAATGACATAAATGAGTTAAACGTTTAACGGATGACATAGATGAGCATTTTCTCAAAGTTTTGATGGCATATTTGAATATTTTTTCATTTAAAAGATGATATAATCAATGACGTGACCGAATCATAATTTACCACGTATAAAAAATGATTTTGCAAATTCAAAAATATTTTTAGTTAACAAATAATGGCATGGATGAACCTTTTCTCAAACGAAAATGGCATAGATGAGCAAATTTTTAATGAATGACATAGATGAGCCTTATCTCAAAATTCAATGGCATATTTGAGCATTTACTTTATATAAAATTTATATATATATATTATAAATACTAGCAAATATATAAGATAATATTAGTACAAAATTAATTATTTAGACGCTTGATCTTTGACTACTCTATCTTGATTGAAATATTATTTTTGGTAATTGATTAACAAAGGAAATTATTTGTACTTTATTTTGAATATGTATACGTGTGTAAGGTGTTAGAATGATATAGTTAAAACGTTTCTTGAAAATTTGAAATCATATAAGTATTTGTAAATTAAAGATCAAATTATGATTACAAAATTAATGTACCATAAATGACGATCCGAACCATACCGATTTGATCCGATAATAAGATAATATTTGAAAATCAAAATTACCAAACTAATTTTTTTTATGTCATACCCCTAAACGTAATTATACCTCCTGTTGGCCCTCTTTTCACAATATCATAGTAAAGGGGTTTACATAGAAAATCCTATAAATAGTACATTTTATACGGATTAATTTAGAGTCCAGTTGCAGTACCATTTCAAGTTTAATTTGGATTTACGGTATATTAAACCAATAATAATACTATGATTTAACTGGGAAAGAGGAATTTAAGGTTATAATGACAACCAAATTCTCAGAAGAACTAGGTGTGCACGGAAATTTTTTTCTAGCAAATTACGTAAATTACAAGGGACTAAGACGTTTTCTTAATTTCTTACAAAAGGATAAGTCTTAAAACTTAAAGATTATCTCTAAAAAATAATCATAGTTCGAAATATTCAATACTTAATTAATATCTTAAATTATAGGTTGATTTTTAAGATGATGACTCAATCAATCTAATATCATCTAAAAAAATCACATTTTTATTGAATTTCAATTTTTCTTCAATTAACTTTATAAAATAATAATTATTAGTTGAGTGACCATATGGTAAATAAGTGTTCTAAAACTTCTCCGTATTATCAACTTGTAAGTTAATAATTTATAATAAAATGTCCCTGAAAATGCGAAAGGGATTGGGGTCATTATCATTATAATTTAATAAGTCAAAGACGGGAAACTCACTCATGTATGATTGTGTCCAGGGCCGGCTCTATGTATACTTTAATAAGGCATTGGCCTTAGGCCCCCAATTTTAGGGGGCCTTAATTTTTTACCAAAAATAAATTATGTGTTAATTTTTTATAGAAAAAATATTGATTATTTATCATAAAAAAGTATATATTTAAAATTATTATTTTATTCTCTTCAACCCCATTCAAATAGAAGAAATCAAGAAAATATTATTTTATTTTCTTACACTCTCTCTACTAATACTCACATTATTTTCTTTTTAACTCCTTTTACACTCTCTTCTTTAAATTGTTGATAAGTTAGAGTAATATTCTGTCAAAAATGTCAATTAATAGTCGAAAAGTATTGAACAAATTCAATTGTAAATTCTTTTTCCATTTCTTCTTAGATTTTCAAGCATTACAACAACCATAGTAAAATGTGGGGTAACCAAATTATCAACTTCATCAAAGCTATGGTTCTAACTCTTATATTTATTTGAAATTTGTCAACTTATTACTTGTAGAACTATGTTAACAATTCATATAATGATTGCCCGAGTAAGATACTATTTTTCAACGTTAAATTAATAAAATCTTATTTAAAACTAATAATTGAAAAAGAAATCAAATAAATCATTTATATATAAAAAAAAATATTAAGTAATACTTTGCATTTAAAAATGTAAGAAAAATAAATGCATGTGAAATTTATTTAGATTTTAGGCCTCTAATTAAGATTTCGCTTTAGGCCTCCGATTACGTTGAGCCGCCCCTGATTATGTCAAACATATGAGGTAGATAATCATCATCAATCAATAAGTTTGGTCATATAGGTGAGGCATAATATATTAATATATATTTAATTTAACCTTAGCTGATATATATATTTTAAATTTTTTGAATATATATTTATTTATATATTTGAGGATAGATTAAAAAATACGTTTATATATTAGGACAGTAACTAATGTCAAGTTGATGGCTGCCCGTACTGCTGCAAGGGCTGAGGGCAGAGTGGCTGCTCATATCTTTTTGGATACGTTATGATGAGATCACTTTAGCATCTGCTACTTTCATTATCCAGAATTAAAAGGATGGCTACAAATTGCACTTCTTTTTTCTACTCCATCTTTCTATTTGAACTTTGATGGCTCTTGGGCACTTCCAAGAACTACGTCTAAGCATTAAAATATCCAGAAAACAACAAAAACAGTACCAAAAAAATAACAGACCTTTGACATTCACATGATGGTCACGCATCTCTATGCTAAATCAAAAGCCTTCTACTACTCCTTTTGTTTCAATTTATTTATCTGATTTTAACTTGATATGAAGTTTATAAAAATAAATTATTTTTTTGAAAAGTATAGTTTTAATCTTGGGATTTGTGTAAAGTCGGAACAGATACAAAAGAAAAGCAAAACAAATAAATTGAAACGGAGGGAATAATTTATTTCTCCTTCAATCATTGCTGAGCCACAATCACTTGCAGTTTGTGCCACATATATAGTCTTCCATATCTCCATGTAGCAAAAGCATTTAGGACGTCTGACGATATGTGGAGCAACCTTCCTTTTGAACTCCTAGCCAACATTTTCTCTTATCTTTCTCCTGATTCATTAGCCAGGGCTAAATCCGCCTGCAAGAGTTGGCACACATGTGCTAACAATTCACCTTCATGGGCAACGCTGCCATGGCGGCAATATCCGCCGTGGTTTCTAGCATTGCCCACACGCAACCATGGGCATTTTATTTGTGCTCGCAACCCAATTAATGATTCTTGGCATCTATTGCCTCTTGACTTCATTCCCAACCCAATTCGCCCAATTGCTGCAGTTAATGGCCTAATACTACTGAGAGAAACTACAACTACTAGCCTTCAATTAGCCATATGCAACCCTTTCACTCGCCAGTTCAGGCACCTCCCAAAGCTAAATGTCACGAGGACTAATCCAGCTGTTGGGGTAATATCACTGGATTCAGCAAACTTCCAGGTCTATGTTGCCGGAGGAATGTCAGAGGCAAGCAGCGTCGGAGGAGGTGCTTCGTACGAGCCCAGCTTAGAAGTGTATGACTCTGTTCACGAAAACTGGAAAACAATCGGATCAATGCCGATGGAATTTGCAGTAAGGCTAACAGTTTGGACCCCAAACGAGAGTGTTTACTGCAACGGCATCCTGTATTGGATCACCTCAGCCCGGGCTTATACTGTAATGGGATTCGAAATTAGGAACAAAAATTGGAGAGAATTAGGAGTGCCGATGGCTGACAGGCTTGAATTTGCAGCACTGGTAGAAAGAAATGGGAAATTATGTCTTGTTGGTGGAACTAGTGATACAGGGGCATGTATATGGCAGCTTGAGGAATCAAATAATTGGAGAATGATTGAGAAGGTGCCACAAGAATTGTGGGCAAAATTGTTTGGAGGTAAAGGAAGATGGGGTAGTATTAACACCAGATGTGTGTGCATTGGTGGGACAATGTGCTTGTACAGAGATCTTGGATCAGGAATGTTGGTATGGAGAGAATGTGCAGAAAATGGTACTAAATAGGAATGGCATTGGATTGAAGGGTGTGGTACAATTAAAGGGGTGCACTTGCAGAATTTCCCCATTAAAGGACTGTTGCTACATCCCTATCTTGCATCCTCCAACTTCTTGCTGAATGAATGAGCTCCAAATTCTTTTCTCTTCCCAGTTCCAAAAACATACTCTATATACTACACCAACAACAATGAAATCCCATTAAGTGATATCTGGTCATTTGAGAGGATAGATTGTACGCAAATTTTATCATTATTTCATACTGATAGAGAGGTTGTTTACCTATGTAAAAAGAAAAATACCGACTTTTCAGCTAGTGTTTTATAACATTAATTTGTTAACTTGGCGTAAATACTAAATGGAAATAAATATTTACTCCAATATATACTAAATGGAATTTCTTAAATGTCTTGCATTTGATGCTTGGACATTTTACTGATTTAATCTTATACTAAATAGGCGTTTGGCCATGTGATATCATATCACGATATGGTATCGCGAGATGGAATCAGCGTTTGGATATGCGATTTTACGCTGATTTCATCTCATGATTCCATATCATGAGAGGTGATACCATATTCTCCAAAAACCATGATATGGAATTATATGGTGATTTCATATTATGATTTGAGATATTTTAATACAATAATTGATCCATGAGTTTATATTTTGTTAAAACAACCCCATATTTATATCTACTAACCATTTGTTTCATATGTAAATAAAATTTATAATCACATCATTACTTTTTAAAATTTATTATTCTCACCGACATAAAATTTATTATTCTCACCAACATATAGTCACTTTAACTCACACCTCACGATTGTGAAACTTTTCAACATTCACTTGAAACAATTAACCGGCATGTTAAAATAGTTGCCGAGGCAATTAGCAAGATGGCACCAACATTTACACAACAAAAAAATATGACTGGTGTACATTCCAAAATTCGACATAATACTCGATTTTGGCCTTGGTTTAAGGTAAAATTTCGATTACATTAATAAATTTATTTTATGGCCTTAATAAGTGAACATTTATATTTTATGTGTAAGTTATTAGTATTTAGTTACATATTTTCTATCAACTTTGTTTAAAGAGATAATATTTATTTTATGACTTTGCATTGTCTTGGAAGCACTATTTTTATTACTCTTACAAACATTATTTTTATGAAGTGCATTCTATAATGCTTCCAATTTATTTTATGTTCACTAAACTAATATTGATGTATTTTTTATTTGGTAGGATTGTGTTGGTGCGATTGATGGAACATATATAGAAGGGGAGGTTCCTAAAGTGGTGCAACAAGCATATCATAATCGCAAAGGAAGAACATCACAAAATGTCTTATGTGTTTGTGATTTTAATATGCGATTTACATTTGTTGATGCTGGTTGGGAAGGTACTGCACATGATAGTACAGTACTTGAGAATGTACCTGTTGAACCAACTTCACCATTTCCATTTCCGCCACATGATAACTTTAAACTACATCCTTAGAATAAATATTATTTATTTACACAAAGCTGTCTCATTTACGTCACATATGCTTTTAGTAATTCTTTATAAAATGTTTTTTGGTAGATAAATATTATGTTGTTGATGCTGGTTTTCGAAACACAAAAGGATTTTTAGCTCCATACAAAGGACTACGCTATCATTTGCAAGATTACCGAGGAAGTGAAAGAGAGCCTCAAAATGCCAAAGAACTATTTAATTATAGACATTTATCTCTGTGTAATGTGATTGAACGGACTTTTGGAGCTTGGAAAAATAGATTTAGAATACTAAAACAAGGCATGAACCACTATGATATTGATACACAAGTGAAAATTGTCATAGCTTGTGCAGTGTTACATAATTATTTGCGAGAATACCAAAGTAGTGATGAAATATTTATGGTCTATGAACATGAAGATATAGTTGCGGAGGATATTGACCAACAATGGCTCAAAGTAACAATGTTGGTTCGTCTTCTCGGTCACATGATCAAGAAATGCAAGTTCAACGTGAGGAAATTGTCCGTACTATGTGGGAGGATTATATTAAATACTAGTACACTACAATTTATGTTCCTTTTTTTAATTAAATTAATGTTAGATGAAACAATTACTTAAGTGGAGAACAAATAACTTTGTAATAATTTATTATGCGATTTTATAATTTTTTGTTTATTTGATAAGATTGAATAAATAATTGGGGTTATTTTAATAGTTCTACAACTTATGAGATTTTTATATTTATGAGAAAATATACAACACAAAAATTCCATAAATCATGTCCAAACAAACCTTCAATTTCATCTCATGATTTCATATCATGATACCATATCGCATGGTCAAATATTTAATATCCTCGATCTTATTTTATTCTTCCTAGAATAACCAAAGATGTAAAATATAGATGTTTTGTTGCGAGCATCTTAAATTGCACCTTCTGTTTCTCGTTTTATTAAATTTAATTAAATTACTTTTCATCATTGTATATCACTCGTATAATTTAACATCTTTGCGTTAGCTGATTGTATTTATAACGATTTATCTTTAAAAGTTAAAACAAAAAGGCAAAAGAAAAAGATAAGACAGGCAAAACCTAGTTCTTTTAAGAGGAAATTTTACTATCATGTGATTGAGTAGTTATACTAAAGATATTTACCGTATAAAGTATAAAAATTCCAATAATTGGTGTTAATTATATTTTATTCGAAAATTTCTCAAATTATAATAATCTCAGATTTGTTAGAATTCGTGGATACATTGCTCCTTCGCCCAATACACAACAGACAATATATGAGTTATGTATGTATCTGATAGAAGTAGAGTGATATATCTGTAATGTTAAGAGAGAGAAGTAAAAAGAAGATTTTTGTAATTAAATTCAAATGATAAGAATTTTAAAAAAATTTGTTATCTTAAATAGTGTAATTACGTAATTTAACCAAATGTTTCCTTCTTCTAATGACCATTGACCACCTTGTAAAGAAAGCGCACCAGGCCTTACCCCAAAGGCCCACTCAGGAATAACCCACTATCTGTTATTCATCCAACTAATGTCCCAGGATTTCTCCCCTCAAATTTGATCTTGACGTTTTTTTTAGATTTGGTTGAAAAGTGATTAGTAAATGGTATTTTTCTATAGAAGAAGGTGAAAGGCTAATAATGATACATGGGAATACCAAAACCTTACTTTTTTTTTATTTTTTGCACTCTGACTTAAATTCACAATCTTCGAGTTGGAAGTGAGGTGCTTACCATCCTTACTAGCCATGTTATAAAGGGAATAGAGCGTGGGTTTTCTAGCAAATTGAGAGGGGAATAACGTTTAAAAATAATGATAATTGTTGATTTAATCCCACTAGTTGACGTAAGGGATGTTTGGCTAAGTTAGGGGAATTAATTTATAAGCACTTAGAAATTATATATAATATTTATATATTTGGTAAACATGCAAATTACCTCAAATTATTTGTCACAATTTTTTTCTTTTTGAGTCAAATTAGATAAGTTTTTAATCAAAAATTTATATTTTTTTCACCATATTAATATGAAAAAAAATGTATCTTATATTTTTTTATACAGTTTTCAATATCTAAATTTTAATTTTAAAATATTAAATTAATCTAATTCAATATAATTTTAAAATTAATCAAATTGATTCTCAAAATTAAGCATAACAAATATTTTAAGAACCGGGTGATGTATAAGTTATAAATAGCACAAGTTGGTAACCCTCATGATTATGATAACTCCATGTTTATTTCATTTTCATCATTCGTTAGGTTGGTTGGTAACCCCTCTCGTTTGTCTTCTTACTCATGGTCTTTTGTGGTTTGCGTTGTTAGCTTCCACATGCACCTAATTATTTCGATCCTAACACGTTATTCTCCTAATATGCATATATTATTTTGTAAATAGCTTTAACAATATATAAGAAATTTTGATAGAAATAACTTATCAATATTTTATACTAAACATATCAATCTTTTATTACCCCCTCTGTCCCTAATTATTTGGTCACTTTTGAATTGACGCATCTATTAAGAAAACAATAATTGACATAGTGAGTTTATCATTTATCCCTATTAATTATGAAGTGGATGAATTAGTATCTTGGGGTTAGCTATCTTGTGATAACTTATCCCGCCATGTATATGGGATAACTTATCCCGTCACTATGATACAAATTGTGGGATAAGTTATCCCAAACATGGCAACCAAACAAGATACACAAATTTTATCTCATCATTATTTTCTTATCCCATCACTATTTATTTTTAACTCTCACACCAAACGACCCCTAAGAGTTTCAAGAAATTCTACCTTTTTCAAAGCGATTAATTGAGGGTATAATAGGTAAAAAGAATTTGTCATTTCTTGATTTGTCAAAATGGACAAGTGATTAGTGACAACTAAAAAGGAAAAGTGGACAAGTAATTAGGGCGGAGGGAGAATCAGTTTCAGTACTTCAATCCAAATTGAATTCCTACTTCCTTGCCATGGGTATCTTTTAGGGGTTTGGCATTTACTAGGCACTTCATAAGGAGAAGACAACAATTTTTGGCCATCAATTAAATAAGGCAAGAAGCCAAAAAAGCAACTTGAATCTTCACAACAAATGGCTAATGATAATGAATGTTGATGATGTGATGATTAAATGCTTTGACATTGATGCGTGGTGTGGGGTGCTATGAGTGTTTATAGACTTTGAATCTCTCTCACCGAATTCAAAATCCTAATCATACATCAATTAACAAATGAGAAAAATAAAGCTTGCTTAGTTTACTTTTTTTTCCATTTTCAAATACTTATCATATGACGCGAAACATGACAATTGTAACAAATATTTGAGACGGAAGAAGTAATAATTGAGCTGAGTGGGATGGTAGGCTTGAATTTTTCACCAATTGACTTCTTCTATACTTTGACATAAATAAACATTAGAAAGATGAAAATAAATTAAGTTGCCATGATTGAAAGGAACACGCAAATTTCTACGTAACGTTGATGGTGACGAGGCCCAATTGGCTATGGCTTTAGTGACTTTTGATTAATGAAAAAGTCCACATGCATTTGAATACTCCTCCCAACAAATGTTGTAGGCCACCTCTTAATTGGCATTTTTTTAAAATCTGGTGATGTGGACATGTGAATAATCGGAAAGGATTAAAAATACAAAAGATAGAATCATTATCTTGTTAAATTGAAACCAAATTAACATAGTTTTCTGCTTAATTAACATTTAGCAATCAAACAGGATGTGCGTGTCTATTTATTCCATTTTATATAAGTTTAAGTATCTATTTATATACATAGAAAATTAAAGGACATAATGTCAATCGAAACCAAATTAAATGACACATTTTTGTATATTTTGCCAATTAATAAAGTTGGGATTCTAAGAATTTTGTTTCAATAACACTATTAAATGGT